CATTTAAGTTTCACAATCTGCGCTCTGTGTACATCCTGTTTAGGGAATAGTAAATTTTTTACTGCTGTTTGCCGAAGAAATCACACAATTGTCGTAAAACGCTGCAATTCAACGTGGATCATGCTATGTATTATAGGCAGCAGTCATAAGGGTGCAATGAGCACCTGAAAATCGTAAAACATCACATAATTAGACATATTTATAATACCCTAGAATATTCATTCTTTAAAAAATACATTTAAAGACGGCGTAATTTGATACCAAACGAGCTCCGGAAGAAAATTGTCAAATTATATAAAAAGAGTATGCTCTGCCCGCATAAGTTGTTCACTCCATTATAATACTTCGCTTAAGAGCACATTCAACGCTCATCAAGCTATTCATGTGCTTTTTGGACAGTGAGGGCATTAGAGGGTAGTGGTCTCTGCTGTATTTTCGTGGTCCAGGCAATGCGATGGTTTTGCTAGTCACTGTCCAGATCGATGTTTCAGATGAAGGGGTAGGTTATACTCGAGTCCGCATTGATTATGCAGGTGCCGGTAATGGTACTGGGAGTAGCCGGTTACGCGTCAGAAGGGTTGGGAGGAGTAAGGGCTGTGGTGGCGGTGGTAGTTGCCCTTATTTTTAGAGTGTTATGAATAAGATGACCCCTAATCATAAGAAATTTGCTAGCCCTGATAATTTATCCCAGTTTCATTATTAATGCAGTCGCATAGACCCGACGATTAATTGTCAAAAGAAATACCCTTGCTTAATGCACGGTAGGCGATGCAACCCTTAAATCCAACGATTGTTAAAAGTAACAGCCCGTTATTCAAACGCAGACCTAGTCGGGACCCTCCCAAAGAACTACAACAAAAAAGTAATAATTGTTTACCAAAATGTGGCATATTACAATTTATCAACAAACATTTTCTTGTTTAGAAATACCACCTTTTCTCAGCAAAAGGTTTAACATCAAAAATGGAAAATTAGGCATACTGCGTACGCTTGAGTTTCAAATTTAGAGGATGCCTGTCTATGAAGAAAACCGAATGAATAGAGCAACACAAGTAAAGTTACTTTGGAAAGTAGGCCTGTTGTAAAAAATATTCTCATAAACATGCTTCTTTATTACAAACAATTATATTTTAAGCTGCTAAAGAACAGCCCAAATTTAGTGTACGCATTTCAACATAGTAACACGAGAATTTCTGGTTGTTTCTTCTGCTTAAACATTGTTTGAGTTACCTTTCATAAAGATAACCAGAGTTAAGCTTGATTTTGCCGATGACGAAGTCACAGGAAAAAAGAATTTTCGTGAACTCGCATGCGTAAATACCGGTCAGTTAATACTAAATTAAAATGGAACTGTCGGGGGCAATTGTAGACGTACCGTTGTGAACACTTACAGGAATTTCCTTCCGGCACAAATTGTTTGTAATACTTTGGGATTCTTATTACGACGAGGTTTACATCTTGCTTAAAATGGCAATAAACGCTTTATGATTTTCACTGGCTTCAGTTGATTGGCCGTAGATAAGGATGATGTTCCACATGCTTACCAAAACCACCGAAATAAGACACATTAGTCGCCAAAGACCACGAGACTTTCATAATTTTATCAAAGTCTGATCATTAGTTGAATCCCAATGTAAATGCATTTAGGAAAGCATAGAAATAATAGGGAAGAGCATTAGGCATATTAAGTACTTAAAAGATCTACAGAAAGCACTAAATGCTTGTTAAGACAAATAAATTGAATAACGAGTCTGCGGAAATAACTTCTTAAACATCTGTCTGTTTGGGTGATGGTTTTAGAATCAGACAAACCTGTCAACCCTTTGCAGAGAAAAAAATGAATCTTCATAACAAAAGTCGCGAGCGAATATACGTGATATTAATTTTTTTTAATTTCACAAAAACGCGCCTCATGAAAAAACGCTCTGCTCGCATTTTTCGGCATAAAATGTCTG